GAGTGACCCCAGAGTGGGGTGAGACCCCTCCCCACTCCCGAGTGACCCCAGCGCGGGGTGAGACCCCTCCCCACCCTGAGTGACCCCAGCGTGGGGTGAGACCCCTCCCCACCCCCGAGTGACCCCAGCGCGGGGTGAGACCCCCTCCCCACCCCGAGTGACCCCAGCGCGGGGGTCCCACCCCTCCCCCCCCAATGTCTGTGTTTCCTCGCCAGGACGGGACCCCCGCGCCGGTGGCCGCGGTGACACCGAGAACGGGGGTCCCAGGAGGGACCCCAGAAGGGACCCCAGCCCCAAATCCCCGCCCGGGGTCCCGTCCCTGGTGACACCGACACGAGGGGACGGTGACAGTGCTGACCCCGACCCCCAGGGCTGTTTTTAGGGCTGGTCACTCTGCGGGGTGGACACGGGGCTGCTGGACACTCGGACAGGGTTTCGGGGGGTGTCCGGCCTCGCTGCGGCCGTGTCCACTCCGAGCGCGGCGTCCCCTCTGTGCTCCCCACGCCATGGACTGACCAAGGCTGGGATGTCATTCCGGCCACGGCCGTAATTCCCACCGGCCCGGGGCTGCCCCTCCTCCTCCCCCTCTGGCCGGTCCTTACTCCGGCCAGTCCTGGCTCCGGCCGGGCCCATCCCGTGCTTTGCCTGATTCGGTGCCGTTTTACCCCGTGCTGGTGTCCGGGGCTGTGTCGGTGTGTCCGGCGGGGTCTGTGTGTCCAGGACTGACCAGTGCTGTGTCCAGGGAGATGCAGGACACACGGACAGGGCCGAGTCCATGCATCTGGTGGGGTCTGTGTCTCCGGCACTGACCAGTGTCCATTGCTGACCAGTGCTGTGTCCAGAGAATCCCAGGGCCCTGTCCATGGGGTCCGTGTGTCTGGGACTGACCAGTGCTGTGTCCAGGGAGTTGCTCGGCCCTGTCTGTGTGTCCGTTGGGTCCGTGTGTCCAGGACTGACCAGTGCTGTGTCCAGGGAGCTGCTGGGTCCTGTCCATTGTCTGTCAGGTCCGTGCGTCCAGCACTGACCAGTGCGGTGTCCGGAGAGTCACAGCACCTTGTCCATATGTCCAGTGAGGCTGTGTCCGTGTGTCTGTTGGGTCTGTGCGTCCGGCACTGACTGGTGCTGTGTCCGGAGAGATGCTGGGCCCTGTCCGTGTGTCCAGTGGGTCCGTAGGTCCGGTGCTGACCCGCGCTGTGTCCAGGGAGGCTCTGGGCTGCGTCCGTGTGTCTACTGGGTGGTCCGTGTGTCCAGCACTGCCCAGCGAGTCTCAGGGCCCTGTCCGTGTGTCCAGCACTGCCCAGTGCTGTGTCCAGGCATTCGCAGGGCCCTGTCCGTGTGTCCAGCACTGACCTGCGCTGTGTCCAGAGAGTTTCGAGGCCCTGTCCGTGTGTCCATCCATGTCCAGCCCCAACCCCTCCTACATCCATCCCCATCCCCACATCCATCACCCCCGCGCGTCCGGCACTGCCCCTCCCCTCTCCCCTCCGGCCGCGCTGACCGCCGCGTGTCCCCGCAGGGAGGAGAAGCCCGAGGAGAACCTGCAGCGTCCGGCCAAGGCCAAGAAGCCCAAGAAGGAGCGCAAGGAGCCGGAGCCGGCGCAGCCCACGGCCGAGCCCGCCGAGGCCGGCAAGGCCGAGAGCTCAGAGGGGGCCGGAGCCGCTCCGGCCGCCCCGGAGGCGTCGGCGTCGCCGAAGCAGCGCCGGTCAATCATCCGCGACCGCGGGCCCATGTACGACGACCCCACGCTGCCCGAGGGCTGGACGCGCAAGCTCAAGCAGCGCAAGTCCGGCCGCTCGGCCGGCAAGTACGACGTCTACCTGATCAAGTGAGGCCCGGCCGGAGGGGAGGGTGGAGGGGGGGTCGGGATGGTCCGAGCGGGCTGTGGGGGGATGTGGTCACTCACGCTGACCACTCGCTCTCTGTCCGCAGCCCGCAGGGAAAAGCCTTCCGCTCCAAGGTGGAGCTGATCGCCTACTTCGAGAAGGTGGGGGACACCTCGCTGGACCCCAACGACTTCGACTTCACGGTGACCGGCCGGGGCAGCCCCTCGCGCCGCGAGCAGCGCCCGCCCAAGAAGCCCAAATCGCCCAAAGGCCCCGGCACCGGCCGCGGCCGGGGGAGGCCAAAGGGCAGCGGCGGCGGCGGCGGCAGCGCCCGGCCCAAAGCGGCGGCGGCCGTGTCCGAGGGGGGCTCCGCGGCCAAACGGGCGCTGGAGAAGCCCCCCGGGAAGCTGCTGGTCAAGATGCCCTTCGCCCCCGGCCAGCCGGGCCCCGCCGCCCCTCCGGCCCCGCGGCGGCCGGGCCGTAAGCGCCGGGCCGAGCCGGACAGTCCGGCCGTGCCCAAGAAACGCGGCCGCAAACCGGCGGGGGCGGCGGGGCCGGGGGGGCCGGGCGGCCCCGACAAGAAGGCGGCCGCACCTCCGGCCGTGCAGGAGACCGTGCTGCCCATCAAGAAGAGGAAGACGAGGGAGACGGTGGTGGTGGAACCGGTCAGCGCCGCGGCCGCCGCCACGGC